AAAAAAAAAAAAAAAAACAACCATATTGTTAACCACACACCATGGGAAGGCTGACCACTTGGCAGTCCTGGTCTTGTTTACTCATTACTAAGCACGTAATCAAAAATGTCTAATATTGGAAGAGGCCAGGCATGGTGGCTCATGCCTGTAATCCCAGCACTTTGGGAGGCTGAGGCAGGAGGATCACTTGAGCCCAGGACTTCGAGATCAGCCTGAGCAATGTACGGAGACCTCAACTCCATAAACAATTAAAAATAATAATTAGCCAGGCATGGTGGCATGACCCTGTAGTCCCAGCTACCTGGGGGCTGAGGTGGGAGGATCCCTTGAGCCTGGGAGGTTGAGACTGCAGTAGGCCATGATCATGCCACTGTACTCCAGCCTGGGCAACAGAACAAGACTCTATCTTAAAAAAAGAATATATAAAAATAAAAGATATTCACAGAGGGAAAATGGTGATACTTGGTCAAGAAAAAGCTTTTATATTAGAAGTGAACTGAGACTAACACCCAAGAGCCTAAATTCTTACTGAATAATTTGGGGATTAGTGGCTCCAGAAATTCATAGCTATTAAACTATGTGTTAGTTTTATTTTTTTTTCTGAGACAGAGTCTTGCTCTGTTCCCCAGGCTGGAGTGCAATGACGTGATCTCGGCTCACTGCACCGCTTCCTGTGTTCAAGTAATTCTCCTGCCTCAGCCTCCTGAGTAGCTGGGATTACAGGCATGCACCATCACGCCTGGCTAATTTTTGGATTTTTTAGTAGAGATGGGGTTTCAACATGTTGGCTAAGCTGATCTTGAACTCCTGACCTTGTGATCCACCTGCCTTGGCCTCCCAAAGTTCTGGGATTACAGGAGTGAGCCATCATACTTGGCGTTTTTTTTTTTTTTTTAATTTTGTAACAACCCCTCTCACTGCCCCTGGGGTAGACTTCTACTACTGAACAATATTTCACAAATTGGTCCAAATAGCTCATATCTGAGAGATATACCTTATGCCTCCCCCCCCTTTAAAGTGACAGGAAATTAGAAACTGGAACTAGAGACTTACTGTTTTCCAGTCAGAAATTGCTGACTCATCACATCAGCTCCCTGCTCTGAAATTTCCCTTTCTGCGATCACCAATGGTTTTACAATTACTAAATTTAGAAAACACAGGCTGGGCGTGGTGGCTCACACCTGTAATCCCAGCACTTTGGAAGGCCAAGGCAAGCAGATCACCTGAGGTCAGGAGTTCAAGACCAGCCTGGCCAACATGGTGAAACCCCTTCTCTACTAAAAATACAAAAATTAGCTGGGTGCGGTGGTGGGCACCTGTAATCCCAGCTGTTCAGGAGGCTGAGGCAGGAGAATCACCTGAACCCGGGAGGTAGAGGTTGCAGTGAGTCGTGAGTTGAGATCATGCCATTGCACTCCAGCCTGGGCCACAGAGTGAGACTCCATCTCAAAACACATGCACACGTGCGCGCATGCGCGCGCGCACACACACACACACACACACACACACACACACACACACACTCTTCCAGCCTTATTTTACTCATGGTGCTTGATACTATTTGCCACTACCTTTTAAATAAAATTCTCCCCTCCTGTGATGTTACCCTTTCCTAATTTTCCTTCCCTCATTCTATTCTTCTTCATTCTTCCTGGGATATTCTTTTTCTGGGATATTAAATTTCATGGTTCTGTAGAATTCTGATCTCATGCCCCTGCTCATGTTTTTATAAGTTATTCTTGGGGCATTTTCTTTTTTTTCTCTTTTTTTTTTTTTTTTTGCGTCGGAGTTTCGCTCTTGTTACCCAGGCTGGAGTGCAATGGCGCGATCTCGGCTCACCGCAACCTCTGCCTCCTGGGTTCAGGCAATTCTCCTGCCTCAGCCTCCTGAGTAGCTGGGATTACAGGCATGCGCCACCATGCCCAGCTAATTTTTTGTATTTTTAGCAGAGACGGGGTTTCACCATGTTGACCAGGATGGTCTCAATCTCTTGACCTCGTGATCCACCCGCCTCGGCCTCCCAAAGTGGGGGCATTTTCTTTAAATGAATTGACGTTCCTTCCAAGATCATAATAAATACTCTTCCATCTCTTCATTTTACAACGTTACCAAGTCTTCAGAATTTCTGCACACAGTCACAGTTAGCCAACAGAAAGGGATAAAACTAAAGTTGAACTTCTATATCCAGGGGCAAGGTAAAAAAACAAAAACAAAAAAAAGAAACTGAGTCAAGTAGGGTCACTTGTTATGATGAAAACCAAACAGAATTTACCCAGTATATTTGGAATTAACAATATTTAGGAAGAACCTTGTCCTAGGTAATCTGGGCAACAGATGCTGATGAAGTGAAATTTGTTCACTGTGTTCAGCAGGGATCAATGGACCTGATATTTAGCTAATTAAAAAATAGCATGTAATTCTGTGATCTATAATTTGAGGGAAGGATTTGGAAAGGGCTGGTTTCTAGTCATAATTAGGGAATACTTTGTTTCTAAATCTATGACTCTTTCATAGCCCCAGCTGATGTGGTTGTTAAAAGTCATTCTTACTTTCAAAGCTCATTGACTCACACTTTTGCTTTGTAGTTTGCCAACATCACACAAAATGAATGAAGATCTAATTTTACCTTTCTTTAATGGCATTCTATTGCTCTTCAAGCACCCCAACAAAACTATGAAAGACACCGTGGGGACTCTGCCCTTTGCTAAAATTAACTGGCTCTCAGTGAGGCTCTAATGTAGGGTGGAGCCCAAGTGGCAGACGTTATAAATATGAACAGCCACCAGGTCACATTCTTGTCTTGCTTCGTCTGAGGCTTCCACAGTTGACTGCATTGATCAATTATTTCCAGAAGCCTAGGGAGGGGTCTAAGATGATACATCCACAAAGTCCTTCAAACTCCCTTCTTTTTTTCATTTAGCAGAGGAAAAGTTGCTAATTTCCTAACTTATGAATATTCTAGAAATCAAAATTTAAAATTCAACTAGCCATGGGAAACAGGTATGAATTTGAAGTTACTTTAGGTTCATCTGAAATATGTCAATAGCAGAAAGATTGGTGAAGAAGATTAGACTGGGTGGCTGGATCCACTTTTTGCACAGGTAGTTTCACTTTTTCCTCTGTTGAAATTTCTTCTCTGTACTGATCTTTTTTCCTATGTCAGGAAAAGTCTAAATCTTTCTCTGCCTAGAACCTTGAGAATCAGCAAGAAAGGAATGGTTTCAAATTTACCATTTCAAAAAAATCTGATTAGAGAGTCCATTCCCTCCCTCCCTCCCTCCCTTTCTTTCTTCCTCCCTTTCCTTTTCCCTTTCCCTTTCCTTTCTTCCTTCCACACAGTTACAAGTGCCCTAAATGATCACATATCTTTATACACTTTTAAAACCATAAACCTAAAATTGCAGATATCAGAGAGACCTGAGACGTATCTCAGCCTGCACTCTGATTTTATAGCTGAGGACAGCAAGCTCCCAGGAGGGGAAGTGGAATGAGATCTAGGTCTCCTGAACCTTCTTCCTTGTTCCATTCTGTCTTAAAGGAGGCTGCAAGAGGCCAACATGCTTACTTTTGGAAGGATCGCTATCAAAACTTTGCCTAGGCTGATTTTTATTTTTTTGCATTGTGTAGGCTCTTAAAAATCAACAGAGGGAAGTCATGGTTGCCTTTTCAGTACTTACCAACAAATAACTGGCTGTAGAGTTCCAGGCGGGTGTGGCCTTCTGTTGGGGCCTTGCGGATCTGCTGGGGCAGCCGGTCCACCTGCAGGCTGGCCTGCTTGACGTTCCTCTCTGCAGTGACTCGGTGCCACTGGTCATCGTTGAGAGGTGTTGGTGACCTCACTACAATCTCTACTGGCCCATTTCCCACATCAAATGAAAAGGACACTTCTGTGGCAGCTGGAGGAGCAGAAAGAATGGAAGACATGAGTATTTTTCCCCCACAGACCAAATAGTAAATTCTAGAAGACAACCAAAGCAGGAAAAGGAAAACTCATCTAGGCCTGTTACTTCCTACAAAGGTCAATGGCAAAATCAGTGGAGGAAGGATAAAACGTTAATCATTAACCATTAATAACCAAGTGGAGGAAAATAAATGTGTATTGGGACCTATGTGCCAGGTATGCATTTATTTCCTTAACCTTAGAAACCTTCCAAGATGTGACCTTCTCCAGATAAGGAAACCGAAGTCTGGAGAAGTTAGCATATGTTGAGTGTCTTAGATTAGGTAAGTTAGTGGAGTCAGGAACTGAACCATGGTTTGTCAGATTTCAGAGCTTGAGACTTTTTAATTCCACATACAATTTATCTTTTCAGTAGCTACTTGGAAAGTGATTCATAGTCACCTGGAGATCTCTTGAAATGTGTCTAGAGATTTTGACTCAGTTGGCCAAGAGTTGGCACTAGTATTTTTTTTTAAACTCCCCAGGAAATGTTAATATGTAGCCACTGCTTTGGGGGACTTTGTGAAACTGTATTTCATTGATCTTTATACTCTATTGAGAGTTAGGGAACTTTGAATTGTTGATGCAATGAAGGTGACCTACAATTTTCAACCACCTGTGGCTACTCAAAAAGTAGCACAATATTTCTGAAGAATAATCATTGTCGTACATCAATTGTTGCAAACCTTGGTTATTCCCCATCTAGGATGTGGGCTCCTTCTGGTAACCTACCCTCTAGCACTGACCACAAATTATTCTTTTTTCTAAGAGATCACCTCCAAATTAACCTTTCCTGCAATAAGTCACCTCTCAACACATGGCAAATGGATTGGTTACTTTATTAACTTTAGCTATAAGTAGCTTTCTTATTTCACATTTTACGTTTTATGTCAAGTTCCTCAGTGACCACCTAGTAGTTTATAAACTAGCTTCTAAAATGTATATTTTTTGCTTGTGATTGACAGCAGAGGCAGCTTCATGCTGAAGCAGCATACACATCTTCAGCTCCCTTAAGCTGGGTGAATTCTTTTCAACATTAAAGATGTGGCACACCAGAGAATTTCCTAACTTTGCTTATAAAGATACTCAGCCCCTCTATCCATCAATAAGCCTTCCACCTAATCTCTAAGCAGTTTAATTAAATATCTGTCATTTTTTCCTGGGCTAATGGAAAATTCAGCTTCTTTTGGCTGGTACCAGTTTGAGACAGTGTCACAAGCAATCAAACTTCTAATTTAAAAACCACGGTGGGCCAGATTCTCTCAGGACCTAGACTGCTCCCTGCCTCCGTGTTGGGCCCCTTGGAAAGCTGCATTAACTTTATTGAGCTATAGGGACCTTAGACACAGAGCTCAATTTAATCAACCTAATTGTACCAAGGAATTTTGATCCTTCATGTCATTAGTGAGAGAACTTTCATTTTAGCACCTGTGGTGATTCGACATGCACTTCAGTAAAATATCTCATCTAAATTAGAAGCCCCTGCCTCCAGGGGTCATTGGGAATGGATTTAACTTGCGGGCCAGTGACCTCCATCAAGGTTTTCATGGAAGTATGATCAGAATGCAGGAGGACGATACTATGACCCACAAGCTGCGTGATCCTTCTCTGTACTTCTGATGCAGCAGATGAGGGAAAAGTAGCCTTGGTTTCAGATTAAATCTGTTCTGTTCTCATAGCACTGTATTTTAGCAGAAGCATTTTTTAAATGTAAGTTGTCACAACAGCAAGAGAAGGAGGGTACCTGGGCTAAGTAGGAAAGATTGTTTCATTTTAAAGGCATCAACTGCCATCAAGGAAATAGAATTTAGGGATAAATTGAGTTTAACCCTAAGGTTTGACTCGTAGGGATAAATGCTGCTCTCACTTCCTCTGCTGTTCTCCTGTTGCTATGATGAATTCACGTCCAGGTCTTCAAATTGTCACTATTTGGAGAAACTCTGAGTGCCAGCAGCTGCTAGAAAATATCCATACTTTTCTCTTTGCTTATCCCAATAGATCCCCTATTTCATCACTGTCATCTTAACATCAATATTTTATTCTAGAGAAGGGAAGAAAGTCGCCAGGACCATCCCGTAGCTCAGAGCTTCTCACCCTCACAGGATGCAGTAAGAAGGACTCAAGGCCAAAGGCCCCAAGAGAAACTTCCTTCCTCAAGAGCCTCCATTCAGGCTCTGCTGGAGACATATTTATGAAGTTAGCCCCTTTCCATGCCCCTTCTGTTGCTTCCTCAGGAAGGGTCTCTAAGACCCAGCGTGAGAGCCAAGAAAAGACCTCCTTTTCCTCAGCTACTCAATGTCAGCTTCCCTGACATTGCTGTGGGAAGCCTTTGAGAAATCCCATCCCCCGGTCAGACAGCCAGTGTGTTTTAAAAGCTTCTAAGTTCCGTTTGTGGCTGATTGCTCTTGGTCTTCTGGGTGAGAGAAACTGACATTTTAAAAGAGATAATTATAGAGAGAGTCGGTGAACGAATAAAAGGGAGACAGCATAAAAGACACTCGAGCCAATGACACCGTCCTTGCTTAATGTGTGTCTCCAGTTGGAGACTGAAGTGTTGCCCTATTTCTGCCTGTGGAAAAGGAATTTCTTATATGCTGAACAAATTCTCTTTTCCAGAAATAAGTATTTGAGAATTGGATGCATATAGCCTGGCTCACTGGAAAGAACAGTGTGCCAAACATGAATGGTTGCCTTGCCATGAGTGTCAAGAACTGGGAAGGGTCTGAGACTTTACCCCACTTGCAGGCTAACAAGTTAACCATGGTTTAATGATGCTGGTAGAACCATAGTTTAACATGGTCATAGTTCAATGATGCTGGCAGAAGACACGAAACTCCTGGGTCAGAGACAAAGGACTTCTTTACTCACAACACAGTAGGTAGCCTGAGCTTCCTGTTTGCATTGCTTTTCCTTGCGGGGGAATGCAGGGCATCCCAGATGGATGCTGTACATGCAATAACTTCACTTCACAGCTGAGGGACCCTGGACTTAGGAAACCCCAATCTTTTAAAGTAGCTACTAGAAAACTTAATCAATTTCTGCCTCGGAGAGAAACATTATATTTGCTACTCTGGCCATGAAATAAATCTACTTGTCTGTCCCAGAGGAAGGCACTATATCTTCCAAGGCTGTTAGCTATACATACATCTTTAAAGAAAGTATGAACAAAGCTGTCAATGCTTCTTACTCAGAAGACAGGCAAAAGTGGGAGACACCCTTGGAGATTTTCCTCCCAATAATTAGTCACTCTCCCTTTTTCCTTTGTGAGCTAACCTGATTTTACCCTGGAATCTCCCTGTTTTCAGAGCCTAGGGCTTTGCGTAAGGACAGCCCTACCCCAGGCCCACAGGGTGGATCTGGATTTAACAGAGGGAAAGATGGCAATTCCAGACTCCTAGCCAGCTACCCACTTCGGGTGGGACACATCATTCCCTCCTAAGTTGAAGGGACAACTTATGTCCCTTCAACCAATGGGACATAAGCTGAGTCTTTTGGTGCGAGAATGGAGTCTTTTGGTAAGGAAAAGACAGTCCCTTTTCTGGCCTTTAATATTAGATGGGAAGTTAAGATTCTTAATGCTGCTGGAGCTGTCTCACAAGTATCAGAGATGAGATACAGAGGACAGAGAGAACAGGGGATGAGCCTAGGACATTGCTGACATTGTTCAACTTAAAAAAATTTTAGTTTTATTTTTTGAGACAGGGTCTTGCTCTGTCACCCAGGCTGGAGTGCAGCAGTGTGATCACAGCTGACTGCAACTTTGACCTCCTGGGCTCAGATGATTCACCACGTCAGCCTCCCAAGTAGCTGAGACTACAGGAGCAAACCACCACGCCCAGCTAATTTTTGTGTTTTTTTGTAGAGATGGGGTTTTGACATGTTGCCTAGGCTCATCTCAAATTCGTGGGGTCAAGCTATCCATCCGCCTCAGACTCCCAATGTGCTGGGACTGCAGGCATGAGCCATCACACCTGGCCTATTCAACTTTTAAATTAATTTGAAGCCATCTACCTTAGGATTTCTTACATGAGATATGCTTTTATGTTATTGTTCAAGCCATTTTTATTGTTTCTGAAAGCATCTTAACGGATATAGAGCCTTAGCTGTTCAGTCTTCTTGCTTTTCACTCTTCAGGCCTCAGTTTGATGTCTAAAGTGAGGATTATACCCATAGTTTCCCAAACATTTCTGAGTTCAAAATGTGTTTAAAACTACTGAGCTAGATTTCCTCTAAGGTTCTTTCAAATTGCAGCATTCTATAATTTTTCAAGAGACTCTAAGAGAAACAAAATGAAATACAGCTAGTCTTAATGATAATTTTAGATACTGAATCATTACAGGAAGAAAAGAGAAATATTCAAAGAGAAATACACAAGGTAGCATATTGACATCAGAAAAGAATATAGGTGGAAGAAATTACTATTGAATATTGTAATTAATATTGAATAAAGCAGGCGCATGAATTCATCTGAATGGCTTAAAGCAATGAATGGGACAAAACCATGGAGAGCTCTTGGCACACTCACTCTACCCCTTCAAGTGTAATTCCAGCAGGTGGCACTATTTGCTCTCATTCTAACTCAACAAATCACTCCAGGCTTCATATTGAGCGATAAATTTAACAACTGACCAATAACAGGTTTTTTGGCCTCTCAGTTTTCTCAGCTGGTGAAGGAGCATTTAGACATTCAACCCACAGTTTCAGCTGAAGAAGCAGAAAAAAATTGGCTATTCAATACAGAACAGGTTAAGAGAAAAGAAGGACAGTGATACATTTGAGCATGATGGGCAGACCAGCTAACACTGTTTCGTTTAGATAACGATTTATTTCTTCCATTCTTAAATAAGGTTAGAAAGGTGGCAGCTTCCCAGGGGATCTTCTGTACAATAAATCTCATTTGACTCATACAACAAAACCGGTAATTGGTAGAACAGATATATTTCAGCCTCACTCTAT